GCAGGATCAGCCTACTGTTTACTGTTCTAGTATTTAGTTACCACTTCATTTCTAGCTCCTGGTTAACTCTCTTACTATTTTTTGAGTTTAGCTAAACACTAAAAGCATATCTGTTATATTTTTTTCAAGCATATCTAGATATATTTTTTTCAAGCATATCTAGCTAAACACTAAAAGCATATCTGTTATATTTTTTTCAAGCATATCTAGATATATGTTTTTCAAGCATATCTAGATATTTGGGATGTTTTCTGGTTACCTAGTCTACCTATATATGATTTCTTTAAGAGCAGTCAGTGGTATCCTAGAATGAATGCATAATAATTTTAAGTGTTTAATCTATCATCTTTCATGCAAAGGAAAATATTTTGAAATAACTGTAAGATACTTTTCTGTCGATTCACTTAGGAATCACCTTCCTATTTGCTGTATGTTTTTCTAATATTCATTTATGTAGTATAATTAAAATAACACAGATATTAGATTTGGACTAGGATTGAAGCCTAGTTCTACCACTTATTAGCTATGTCAGCTGAGAAAATTTACTTAAATTTTTTAGCCATCCCCTATTGTGTAAAATAAAGACATTAATATTACTTTAAAACATATGAAATTTCCATTTTTGTAGTTCACAACAATAGAATATCAGCAATGTCTTATGCTTCATACCAAAACCACTTTTAGTGAACTGTGGCCTCCAAGAGTCCTTATCACATAATGGGTGGCCAAATGATGGCTCCACTTCTCTTACAGAATGATTGCAATTAGAAGGAATTCCAGCACATACAAAGTTTTATTTGCTGTCAGCTATTGGAAAGAATCAGATTTAGTTCTAATAATAGCCAATTTGGAACTAACATTGGCTTGCAGAACATAATATTTATGCAAATATTGCTATTAGGGGAAATTCATTATGTAATCACATATTTGGGGTTCTCTATTTCTATTTTTCCATTAAGTTATATCAAGGATCATGACATCTTACATATTATCTAGGCCAAACCCCAAAGGCGAAATAACAGATTTTTCCATACTTTCTGTACAGGATTCATAACTTAGTATTATGATCATTAAAACCTAATAACCTGAGGTAACTGGCTCAGAACCAGTACTTCTAACACCATCTTTCCTAATCCACATGGAAGAAAACAATTTCTAAAGACTAAGGAAAGTAGTTACTCACTGTAAGAGCTAGCAGTTTCCCATAGGTAAGATGAGCAGGGATGTGGTCAGTCTTGGACCTCAATGATTCCATATACCAATGTTCTGCTTCAGGGAGTTTGCTTAATCGCATGTACGCTTCACCTGGAAAGAGAATCATGAAGATTGGACTGAGGACCCCACTTTCTAACAACATCCGAGACAGCATCATCATCATCGTGTTTATATCCCATGGAATTTCAGATCTTGTGGCAAGTATTTTCACTTATATTCATAATTGATTTCCAAAGAAGTCACTAATGATTTACATTTTACAGATGAAATATATGTGTTTGAAAAATTAAGTGAAATGGTTAAAGTAAAAAAAAAAAATAGTAACGTGCAAAGCTTTGATTTTTAACCTAGGAATATCTGATTCTTAAACATAGGTACTTTGTCACTTTTTCTTTTTAGAGATATTTGCTCTTTCATCTGCATAATCATTTGTCCTTTTTCATTCACATTCATTCATTCTTTTAGAAATTCAAGTATTTGTAGAGTAACTACTAAGTGGAAATAGGCTTATACAGGGATTACATTTAAAAAGTATAAGATCTTACCCTCCAAGATCTTACAACTTTGTTGAGAAGGTAAGATTAATTGAAAGAATTAAAAATATTTTTGGATTCAACATTGCTGCTAAACTTTAATTTTTTTCAGAAATTATTTGCATTTTATAAGTCATTAAGTAAATAAAATTTACCAGTTTAATTTGGAAAAACCAATGAATACATGCCAAGTATCAAGCATGACCAGCACAAAGCTAGTCTGGGGCTTTTCAAGCAATAGAATTTACTTTCAAGTTGTACAAATTTTAGCTATCAAATAGCACTTCATTAACAGTCAAGACAGGAGAAAAAAATTGGAAATAAAGCTGAAAAATGTATCAACTGCCTGCTTATTATTACGCTCCTCTCTCTTACACGATTATAGTGTATGAGAATATTCAAATGATAGAGAAAATATATTTTAAGATTATTTAAATATTTAAGTTAAATACTGTAATAATAAGCACTGCAAATGTAGACACTACTCAGTTTGAGACCAAGCAATAGACTTGTATTATTTTCCAGAAAGACCATTATAGCTTAACAGCATAATCATGACAGCTTTTTCCATTTAAAGGAATAATCACAGGTTTTTCCTACATGTATTACCTACATTGGTTATATATCTTCATTTCAAACGAAGAACTCTCTCCTTTTTAAAAATCATATTCTCCTTGTATTAGCAAAGTGCTGTCAATACAAATAAATACATCTGATGAATTGAATTGGTTTGATTCTCCTTACTTTTTGGATGCCCTTTGCTTGGCTGGTTAGTAAAAATAACTGGTGACAAATAATACGTAATGTGCACAAAAACGTATGTATCTACTCACGCATATCCAAGTGTTTCTATTAAGAAGAGTCCTTAAACTACCATAAAAATAAGTCGGAAAATGTTTTTTCCCCCTAACATTTAAAACATTTTTGCATTTAAGAAGTTGGTTAGATTACATCACATGCTTAGGGGTAAGATGCAAGAAATACTGAAGCAAAGACCAAAGACTGGAATGGAATGCATGAAAATGCTTGTAGTTATTAGAATAGAAAATTAGAAATCAACTTTTTAAAATTTCCATAAGTTTTTGTAATAATTTTATTGTTTTTATCTCCATATATATGTAAAAACTGACATACTGTCAGATTTTTTTTTTTTGCCATGTTGAACAAATGTTTCCAAATAAAGCAAATAGTAATTTTTCTTAGGAAAAGTGAACCATTTCTCCATACTACAATAATAATAGATATTATGTACATAACAGAATAGACTACATAAACCTCTCAAAACCTAAAGTATTGAGAAATTTAAAGGAATTAATGATAAATAGTATCCAAATATTTATCTCTAAAATGGATTATAAAGCCAGATGAAAGACATGCCTGCATTGCGGATTCCATTTGGAATCAACATGAAATTTGCTTTTCAAGTGCTAAGAGGTCAGTTTTTGAGAGTTGTAGAATCACTGCATTTAATATAGCTTCTCCTTTTCATTTATAAAAACATTATTTTTTCAAATAACAGTAGGTCTTCTGTACAGAAAGAGTATGAGAACCTTAATTCCAGAGTGCTTTTGAGATTCAAATCTTTATTATATTTAAGTTGTGAATGTCTATAAATAATTTCACAAAGTGTATTGCTTTTTTCCAAGTCAGAAATCTATTATTAAAACCTACTTTGAAATAAAATATTACTAATTTGCAAATAATTAGTGGCTGACCCATTTTCTTCAGTGCGAAATCGTAAGCAACTTATTAATTTGTAAAGATTGTGAGACAGGGAAATATTAAAGGACTATCAAGTAATACAGTGTATATAATACTTATTATATTATGTAATACATTATATAGGTAATATAATCGTACATCTTAGCAAGTATATAAAAACTTATAAATATCTAGTCAATTTAGGTACTATTTGTTACAACTTAGAAAAACTTCATGTAACCATTAATTGTATCTTAATAACAGTGATGACAATGGAAATTATTCAGTGATGACAATGACGCCAAGTGTTTACTATGAATTAGGGTAGCAAGCTATAGGCAGCAAGTATCTGTCATATTCACACATACTTATTCTATGCATTTGGGCATGCAGAATTTTTCTCACCGATTCTCACAAGGAGCCTTAACACATTACTGCATTCAACCACTACCAACAGTTCATAGTAGGTTTTCAAGATAAAACCTATTTTCAATCTCTATATTAGTTACTTTACATATATATTTCATTAGTTATTAAGGAATACCATTACCTGGATTTTACAGATAAAAAACTTGAGAAGCAGAGTGGCTAAGTAAAACACAATCATAAATATGTAAAGTGG